ATTCAGCTTCTTCCTTTTCTTTAATTAATCGCTGCATCTTTTCCTGATCAGCATGATAACGAGAATGGGCATCTTTGACACTATCAAGAAGGCCTTTACAAATAGGAACCTACCAAGTAACAATCACATTAATAATAATAAGTTATTGATTAATTGTCTTACTTACTTCGTGTACCTTTCCTGACCCATAAAACTTCACGGCATCCTTAGTTGCTCGAAGTCCATTGATGGAAGCATTACTTAAGGACGATCGATCATCAGTAACAAGCGACGCATTTTCGCTAAAGCCACGTTCCACGTCGGCGTTCCCATGTGATAATGATAAAATACTCTTGACGAGTTTAGATAAAATAAGAAACTTGGTGTTACCTGAACTGTTCTTCATTGCGAAGATGTATTCCCAATAATAATCGACAGGATGATACTTGATGATCTCTTGAGAATCAACACCGATGCTTTTGTGCTCGTACCATTCATTTGGAATAGTTTCATTTTCGTATAAACGCCATTCAGCTCTCAATTGATCAAGATCATTGTCGGACAATAAATGAGGTAATTCACGTGCCACAATCATCATACTATTACGAGTAGATTCGTGCTGTCGTAAAAGTGGATGAATAAATCGAACATGTCGTAAAAATTCATTGTTCAGCGGCAATGTACGCTTTAGCTCTTGCTAAAATAATGGAAGAAACATTATCAGATAATGTGACATTTTAATAAGCTATAGCTGTCACACCACTCTTTATATAATAGTCGTGCTTATCAACTACATTTCGTGTAGTTCTTATGATTCATTTTTACTCTTAGTGAAAGTGTTCGATTACAGAAAATACTATAAGTTCTTTTTCTTTTTACTGAGATATGTCGTTCAAAATGTTCTATCAATTTCAATCTCATTAAATTATTGATGAATACTTACAGATATGGATAAATAAATGAAACGAACATTGCTGAAAAATGTGGCTTTGTCATTAGTTGACATTTCTTTAAGTTCGTTTCGTGTAGTTTCACCAATTTCGAGTTTGGAATCTGGTTTTTGATTGGCTTGAGAATTGAGTGCAATCGAAAATAATTGTTTTACGGTTTTATTCATTATTAAATCATCTTTAATGAAACTAATCAATACATTACGAAATAAATCACTGCATTCTTCGAATAACATATGGACTAATGGTTCACTTTGCTGAAGCCATGTTAAAGGTTTCGAGAATATATGTCGATACACATAAAGAACAAATTGAAAACGAACAAATGTTTGCTGTTGGTCGAGCTGATTCTTAATTCTTTTCCATCTATCATTATTAATAATATTTTTATTAATTTTTGGTAAATAAACAAGAAAATATTCTTTAAGAATTGACCATTGGTCAATAACTCGTTCGATAACTGGACCGACTTCTATCCACCGTGTAATAACAAATCGTTTCATAAAACGACCAACACCATCACCAATAGATTCAACTGCACTTAAATAATCTTCACGACGGGCCGATGATCTAGAAAAGAAAAACCAAAATTCATAAAGAATATCTTCGACTTGCCACTCATTTTGTGTAAAACCGTGTTTGAACGCATTGTGAATGACATGAAGTGGACAAGATCCGATGGAAACCAATCCGTTAGCTGGTGCACGTCCAGTTCTAATAAATATAAAACATGAAATTAATCTTTCTCCTGCTTCTGTGTTCAAATACTTACTTTTTCTCTCGTTCAGATCGTAGTTCTTTGTCAATCATAGTTTCAACTGCTTTGTTAACATTCGGATTATCACGACCTATAAGAACAGAAGAACATCTATATAAATAAGAACAAGAATTACTCACCCAATTGAAGAAGCTTACACAAATCGATTCCATCAGACTTTAATGAATCGAGTTTATGACGACCAATGATGTCTGCTGTTGCATGCCCAAGCATAATACTTTTCCAATAACGTGTAACAACACATTGCTTGGATTCACTCCAATATCGAATATGTAAGTCCAATTGTTTGCGTACTCCAACAATAGTAGTTTCGTCGAAAAGTAACGAGTAGGATGGAGCTTTATTAACATCTTTAACAAGTTCACGTACAAAATAATGACCAGTTCCATGTGATATCATATACGAAAGTTTTCGATCTTTCATTGCATAATCGGCAGCTATTTTACTGTCAGGAAACATCGATGTAAATAATTCAGGAATATTCTTTGATGAAGCATAGCTGAAGCCGAGGTGAGTTGTTGCCATTGCCCAATAGCATTCGGCGCGAGACACCTTTTCATCGTGTGTCAATGCCCGATCTGTGTTGCTGTTCAATATGACGAAAGACCGTTTGTTTGTTGATATCGATGAATCAGTATGTGAAGACTGTTTTTCAGTAGAATTAGTATTTGTAGATGGTACTGATGTGGTAGAAGAAATGAGTTGATGAGATTCCATGACGTCTTTCAGACTTTGCATATGCTTTGGCCGTTCTGCATGATTCTTTACGTTAGTCCAGCCTCCATTGGCACAGCTTAATTCGATGTTACATACAGTGCATATAAATGCAGTTTTTTCTTTACCTGGACGTAACCAAATAGAGCATGGTTTGCCTGTAGAATCGGTGTTTTGTAACCATTTTGTTGAAAAAGATGTATCATACGGCATTTGATATGTTTTCGTATTTTTATCAAATGTGTGGAATATTTATTCTTTTCTTGAGCAAACGTGTGTTCATTTACACACAAATAAAAGAGCAATTCAATTCGACGTGTTTGTGACGAGTATACATCCTTCTCATTCATGAGCGAAATAGGCCGTCGTGTGTGACAGTGCATTGCCCTTATTATTTGAATGAGACATTGTTATGCAACATATCGTTTTATGTTTGTCTGATTATTCATTTAAGGGCCCAAGCAGACTAAAAAAGCTTGTTAGTGCAGCCCCTTTGGGACTGAAATGTGGAACTCACATATCTTCTTTACTTTCACTTTGCTGATGGCAACATATATAATGTTTAAATTCTCTCAGAGACGATAATTCTTTTCTAATGATAATTGATTGTTAGGAAATGTTGTCGTTTTTCATTTATATGCTTCGAGTAGAACCTTTTTTGTGAAGTTGCTATGGT